CTGAGCTGTTTGGTTGAGGACTGAGAAGACACCACTGAGTGGGTCTCCAACATTCTGAGCCTCTGAGAAGAGACTGTGGAGCAGGGACTTACAGCAACAAGGTGACGGTGCTGGTGCCAGTGTTGAGCTTGGTGTTAATCCTGTCAGATTCGAGCTGTGAAGGAACATGAGCACAGGAACACCTCTCCACATGTCCTGGGAGGGGTCACCTGGCTGCCCAGCAACAGGTCCAAGGTGGGCCCACAGTGCTGGGTGAACAGCATGTCCCAAGTCACAAGGCCAGCGGGTGGGAGAGTTCAAAAGGCCGGTAGGGTGGGCATTGGAATCAGGCTGAGGGGCAGCACAGGTGTGAGGACAGCTGCCAGAGCTCAGTGGCGGCCGAGTCCGAGTCAGGAGCAGGGCAGAGAGGAACCACCTAGCCTCGGAGGAGGCGGAGCAGTTGAGAACAAGCTCACAAGGAGCTTCAGGTTCACGAAGGCCAGAGGGCCCTCTGTGCCTGCCCCTGCCGAGCCCCACATCCCACAGTGTGGCCTTCCCCGGTCTGCAGTCATGCTGGGGAGGCTGGCTGTGCTGGGTCGTCCTCCACTTGTGTCTAGCGCTAAGGGCACCCTCGTGGAGCCCATGTGGGGTGAAGGGAAGCTGTGGGATTGAGCAGGTGGGTGGCACCTGGCACACATCAGTCCTGGCAGAGGCAGATGTAACTGCTGATGCCCAGAAGGCCCAGAGCCTCTGGGAGGTCAGACAGCCGACCCAGGGTCCCAGACTCAAGCCCCTGTCTATCGGTGTCAAAGTTGGGTTGGCCCCGGGCTCAGTCTCTGAGTTCAAGTCGGCTTGTGGAGCCCCGTGGAGTCCAGGCCACAGCCCGTATGCATGTGTCCTGCCTGCAGCCATGGTTCTCCAGGTCCTTGGCACTCCATCGTAACTGAGGGAGGCTGTTGCAGTGGACAGAAAAAGGCTACCAGCATCTAGGGGAAGGAATGACATCACAGGGGGAGAGCTTGAAGCAAGAGGTGGCCATGAGGGGGATGGGAAGGCAGGCGGGGCCTGAAGCAAGACCTGGGAGCCCTGCTGGTGTCTGCATGCATAGGGGTTGCAGGGACAATGTGCAGTGGCCATGAGATGGGCAGGGGTGGTGAAGTCCTGCTTGGGGTGCAGCAGGAGCTGACAGGGCCTGTTGAGAGTCCAGAGGAAAGCTCCACAGTGAGACTAGGAACCCAAGGGGACATGGAGGTGATGAGCAGGAAGCCCAACTGACCAGGAGAAGTCAAAGGGAGATAGAAAGCTGGGCAGCCAGGCATTGAACAGATGTCATTCAGTCTCCTAGCCTAATGACGGTGGCTAATGACGGAGCAGGATCCAACTCATGGAGAAGGGACTGCGCAAGGCCAAGAGTGGACAGCAAACTTGTGGCCATCAGGAAGTGTTAGGGAGAAGAAAGGGGCTTAATCGGAAAAATGCCAAGTGGGCATTTCAGAGCTGGCCTCGTGCCCTTGGCCATCATGCCCATGGGAGTGTGGGCGCTGAAGCGTGTCGGTGCGCAGCAGAGCCGGGTGGCAGCGCCAGCCCTGGTGTCGAAGTTGAGGCAGGTGGATCCTGGGCAGAGGCTGGAAGCTGCCCGGGGGAAGGTGAAGACGGGCCCTTGTGCGGCGCGGTGGTGCCGGGGGAGGCTTCCTGGCTGGTGGCTGTGTCTGCCGAGGAAGTGGGACCCATTTTATTTTAGTCCCTGTGTGTCACATAAGGTTAGCCTTCGTGACTCAGCAGAGGCACAGGATGAGAAGTTTCCCAGCCACAGCACAGCTGGGACTGCAGTTCAGCTTTTCTCATCTTGTCGTCAAGTGATGTGTCCCTGAGCCACAGCTCCTCCCACTTCCACGTAGAAATCTGTCCTTGAGCACTGCTGGTTAATCTTAGAGTCACTTTGTCATCCATGAGGTTCTCGGGTTAGGGGAGCTTTGGTGCAGTGTGGTCTTTGGGGCTGTGCTCCAGCTGCCTGGCTCTCTCCAGGTCTCGCTCCAGGGGTCTCAGGTACAGAAAGGAAACCCCAGATGGTTTCTGTGGTGAGTCTCTTCTCAGTGACACAAGAGCAAGGGAAGGGCCCAACCCCTTCCATCGTTCCAGGAAGCACCCATGTGTGTGCGTGCATGCAGAGATGCCACCACCAGCCAGCCATGGCCGGCCTGTACCTCACGGAGAACTGGGGTGAGCCGGGTGGACCTTTCAGGACCTCATGTGAGTGCCTAGCTCTTCATCTCTCCACCAGCGATTGTCACAGGATTAACATTTTTAAAAACACCACTAATTACACACTGACCCTCAGCCAGCCTCTCTTCTCAATGGCCTAACTGTCCAGTGAGGGTACCGTGGCGGGTGGTCTGTAGGCAGGTCCTCTGCTCAAAATGCAGTCACTTTCAGCAGAGACAGGCCCCAGAAGTCAGCCAGGTGTGTATCAGTGTTATTTGATTCAAGGACAGGGGCTCCTGTGAGCCGGTGTTTGTCCAGGTTTGGAAATGGACAGTAGTCAGATGGTCTGTCTGATTCTGACAGCCCCTGCACTCCCCCCGACGGTGCTGTCCTGCTTCCCACCAGCTGCTTGCTACATTGGGCCCCTAAACCTCACAGGGCCAAGGTTGAGCAGGCAGGGGATCAGAGTCTTATTTGTGCCTCTGGTTCACAGGGGGCCAGTCATCGTGGGTAAGTGTAGACACCACACAAATGCAAGGACAGGAAGGGCCTTTCTACCACTGTAGCTGCGGCTCACCCTTCCCGTTGTCTTGCCCCTCCAGGGTGGACTCATCTCTTTGCTTATTGTTGGGATGTGTGCATTTCCTCATGTTGTTCAAATATCCACTAAGGACCTTTTAACAGTTGGTTGCCACTCCCTGGCAGTTGATCCACATCAACTCTGTCCCTTCTTACCACCTGGGCAGAGGCTGGAAGCTGCCCAGGGGAAGGTGAAGACGGGCCCTTGTGCCGTGTGGTGGTGGCATCTCATGTTTGTAGTCAAACTGCGCTGTGGACTGTGGTGCCTCTACCGAGCTCAAAACAGGCTTCTGGGTTGCCACTGCACCCGACCTGCCCCTGTCTGACTTCTGATCTGCGTTCTGTGTGATAAATGGGGACTGTGGTGGAACTGCTCTCACTGTGCCCTGCTGGAATCTACTGAGCCTGAGCGGGGTCTGGGAACCCAGGACTTGGAGCTGACGCAGCAGCAGGGCAGTCTCAGGAACGCCCAGCAGGCCGAGAGAAGGTACTCGAGATAAGTGATCCTCACTCCTGGCACACTCTGCATTGATGTGATCCCACGTGAGCTCTGGCCTCGCAACCAGACATCTTCACCCATGTCGCTTTGAGGAAGAGGGTGCACCCAGCAGGCCTGAAGCTGAGAAAGGGGCAGTGTTCATCCTGAACATTATGGACAGTCTCGTCTGTTTATTAAGGTTTTTAGCGTATGTTTCTCGTCTGCAGACCCAGGACACAAGTGACTGTCTTAGGTCTCCTCACCCACCCTGGGGTGTCCCATACCCCTTCCTTTTCATCACCCAGACATGGGCAAGCACTCCAGGTCTGGCTGACCTCTGGAGAAGTGCCCCAGCTGTCTGTGCCTTGAGAAGTGCCTTGTCCTTGTGCAGGGTAGCATGCCCTAGCCTAGCCCATGTGGCGGAGCTGCATCAGCTTCCTTGCTGGAGAGCGGACAAGCTCTTTCATCTGTGGCTCTCAGCCCCACCCTCCCATGTGGAGGGCTGTTGACAGGCAGTCTGCAAGGCCCTGGACTTCCTAGTGAGTGGTGGGTCTCTCCTAACCCTGCCCAGCCAATTGGAATCTTGGCACCATCCAAGCTGCAGCCAGCCTTAGGGCCGCTGTCTGAAGCTCCTTGCTGGAGCCTGCATCTGCCTGCGTGTGGGCACTTCCTCTCAAGCTTGAAAGCTGTCCACTTGGGCAGCAGTTCAGCCCTGGAGAATAATACTCGTTTCTTAATCTCACTTTTCTTGCCCTATCACTAAGCCTTCTTGAAGATGCAAAAAGTGAAAAGGCCTTCAGGGGAAGGAGAGGGCACATGTGCTGCAGAATCATGTCATCTGCTTGACCTGCTCCCCATGTCTGAGGCTCAACCTCCCTGAGTGTCACTCTAGCAGACAGTGCCACCAAATGGGTGACTGTGATGGGAGCTGTTGATCTGTTCAGTCTTATAAGTGGCAGGAATTACACTCGAGTCTCTCAACCAAATTACTGTGAACATTTTCCTTCTGGGAGAAAGAGCTTCCGGTCAGATAAAATTAAAATGCTTCCCACAGGGTAAAATTAAGTTGCTGTGAAGCAGCAAGAAACCACCCTGAGTGCCCCACGTTCATGGTCACCTCTGCCAGATGCATTCTTCCTGAGACATCTCAGGGCCACACCATCTCCTAGGAGGCAGGTCTCTTTCCAAGGTCAGCTTTCAACAGGCCTCCCCGACCTCCCTTAGAACACAGCATCCTCGGGGCCTCCTCTCTCATCTGTGTGGTGTGTCTCTGCTGTGCGCACAGTGTGACCTGTCACAAGCCCATGTTTGCATGCTCATCAGTCCTTCCTGTTGAACTGTAAGCTCCCTGGAAGCAGGTTTTGCTGAGCTCAGGCCCTGTGCTCAGCCCTGTTATGTGGGGGCAGGACTTCCTTCCTCCACACTCTCGGGTTGTCAGAGTTGGAGCCACAGAGAGGAGGCCATGAAGGGGAATTGTGAAACATGATACATACCTCTCTTAGCAAAGTGCCACAGGATCACCCTTGGGAACAGGGACTCAGTGGAACTGGGTGTGGCCAGCTGGGTCTCCATCCAGAGGCACCTGAAGAGGCTCCCTGTGTAGATGTGGAGGGGAAGGAAGAGGAAGGTGGAGGCTGACTTTCTAGGGTGGAACCTCTGGCCCCTGCTGCCTCTGCTCTGAGCCCCTAACCTCCCTCTCCTCCTTTGCACAAACCCTTTTAATTACCTTGACAGCACTAATAAAGTGCACCATCCTTTCTAGGATCCCTGGCCGGCTGAATGACAGGAGGACTCCTCTGGGTGAGCTCAACTGGATCTTCACAGCAATTACAGACACCATCGCGTGGAACGTGCTCCCCCGCGGTGAGGCTGCCTGGCCACTGCCCGGGTGTAGGGAGAGAAGGCTGACAGACAGAGGAGAAGAGCTGGGGAGGGGGCAGGGGCAGTGATGTAGCCAAAGGCCAGAGCCTAAGGAGGTCCCTGTGTGGCTGGAATGAGTGGCCAGGTGTCAGTGCCTACAGTGGTGGCAGGGAGCGAGGCTTTTTGCATGAGCGTTGGCGAAGCCAGAATCCCTCTTGTAGGCCTTGCTTCTATATTTTGCTATTGGTTGCTTTGTATTTTTGGCATTTGTTCACATATATGTCTGCATGTGTATATATGAACATGTATGCTTGTGTGTGTGATTATGTGGATGTGTGTTCATGTGGATATGTGTGTATATGTGTGTGTCTCCGTCAGTGTGTCTATATGTATGTATCTGTGTGTCCAGTGGGAATTGTGCATGTTCAATTTTTGATGGAAGTAAATATGTGGGTTTGGCTGTAAGTGCTGGGCAGTGGTCCCTGAAGACTTTTTTTTATCATTTATCTACTCAGATCTCTTCCAAAAGCTCTTCAGACAGGACCTACTGGTGGCGAGTCTGTTTCGAAACTTTTTACTGGCAGAAAGGATCATGAGGTCATACAACTGCACACCTGTCAGCAGCCCCCGACTCCCGCCGACTTACATGCATGCGATGTGGTAAGTGTCCCAGGCCAGACAGTGCTGCAGGTGGCTAGCTCTCCTGGTGGCGTGCTCCCACTGCTGCAGCAGTGCCCGTGCAAGGAGCTGTGTGTGCCTGGGAGGCAGGCGTGGCTCCAGACTGAGGCAGAGCTAAAGAGAGCCGCCCTGAGGATCTAGAAGCAGGTAGCCAGCCTCCTGCAGAAATGAGGTTACTGAGACCCTTTTTAGGTGGGCGAGGCCAGTGGCATTAGGCCCCACAATTCCCCACATGGAGAGTGGCACTGCACACAGGGCTCGTATCCTCATTAGAGCTTCAAATTGAGAAAGAAATTGCCTCCTGAACTTGCAAAGTACATCAGAGTGCTCTGAGTGTTAAATCCGTTGGGTTTGTGACAAGTTAATTTATATACTTATGCGTGCACACATGCACAGAGTGTAGAGTGTAATCTTACTCACTGTTGATTATAATTTCTCCAATTGCCCGATTTGCAGCCGGACTGCGGCACTGCTACTTTTGCTAGTATCATCCATGATACCACTAGTATCATGTGGCTGCTCAACAGTGTTGCCACAGCTCAGTAGCTTCACACAACTGCACCACAGAGCTTCTGGGGGGCATGTCCTACATGCAGGGTCCTGCCTGGCTCAAGGCCACTGTAAGCAGCCAGGGACCCCACTGTCCTCCCACATGGCCCATTGTGGCCTTCTGCAACCTAGTCAGCAAGGGAGGTAGAGGTTCTGGCAGATGGGCACACAGCCTGCGTCATGCTACATGTGGTCAGGGACAGCTGTCCACCTTTATTAGATTCTGCTGATCAGAAGTCACAGCCCCACCAACACACCAGGGAGGAGACCTCAGCAGGAGACAGGAGTCATGGGGCTACCACTGGAGTGTCTGCACCATAGGGAGCACCTCGCAAGGGTGAGGCTTTCACCAGCTGCTGAAGGCACTCAGCTGGGGCCCACGGGCAGCTTGGCAGGTGGGAGACGAGCAGTGCCGCTGTGGTGATGCTGAGGGGACAGGCCACCAGGTGATTCCAGAGACTTATACATCAGGTGATGCTGTGTGTCAGCACGTCCCGGAGCTCTCAGGTGTCATCTGCGCTTGTAGCAATGCTGTGAATAGGTCTAGTGATGTTCCCATGTCACAGACAGAAAGGGAGTCTCCAGGGGACAAGCAGCAAGGCTGAGGGCCGTGACTTGAGGACAAGATGGTGTGTCTAGATACATCCCTGGGACAAGAGCATACAGGGTGGAAATGACTCTGAATCAGGGCACAAAGCTTGGGGCTGCCACCCCCGCTGCATATCACTGCTGTGCTCAGGGGTCACAGCACTGCGGAAGGCATCAGACACTAGGTGACAGGGAGTGACAGCTCTGTTACCTGGCCAGCAGCCTGGAATCTCCAGGAGGGGTAGTAAAGAGCTTCACCCAGGTCCTTGGGGCAGCCCCATTCCTACACCCACATTGCAGTGAGCCCCACTCCCGAGGGTAGAGCCCCACAGCCCTCCAGCTGGATGTTGAGCCAAGAAGTGAGCAGCGCCTGCTCTAGAGCCCGTCTCCGTGGTATATCCTACCTGCCAATCTTGCCTTGGCCCGAGATCATGTTCTTGCTGGCCTCAGGATCCCTGGCCACACCTTGACCAGCCAGGTCTCAGCCACCTCACCTGCAGTGTCCTGCTACCCCTGCGTCTCCCTGCACTTGGCCCTGTGGCTGCTGAGACCCAGCTTGGGAGTGTGATAAGCATCCCTAGGGGAAAACTAAAGGACATGGCTAGGAGACATTCTGAAAGACTTTGATAAAAGAAGCCATTTGTGAGAACAAATTAGGAATTACCCCGGGACCTTACAGAATAGGGGCATAAGTTAAAGTACGGGTTCTTTGGCAAAATGTAAGCAATCTTAAAATTTTATTGTTACTTGTATTTAGTGACAAAACCGAACACTGCATTATATCAGTAGTGTAACTGCTTTCTGTTAAACCCTGTTATACATGGAGGGCACTGCCAAGCAGGGCCCTGGCAGGTGTGGATGGCACTGACGTGGCAGCTCTCTATTGTATAGTCTGGCAGAGATCCCTTCTGTAATTGGAAATTCACCTGTAGATTTTCCAAGCCTACAAAGCCCTAAAAAAAAAAAAAAAAAAAAACCTACTTTTAAAAATGGAATCTTTGCTGGGGGTGATGGCTCACGCCTGTAATCCCAGTGGCTCTGGAGGCTGAGGCAGGAGGATCATGAGTTTAAGGCCAGCCTCGGCAACTGTTTTAGTCAGCGCTTCTTGCTACTGTGACTAAAAGACCTGACCACAATTTTAGGAGAGCAAAAGTTAATTTGGAGCTCCATTTTGGGGGCTCGAGGTGAGGCAGAACATCACGGGGGAAGAGTGTGGCAGAGGAAAGTGGCTCACATGATGATCAGAAAGCAGAGAGACGCCACTCACCATATACAAGATCTGTACCTCAAAGGCACGCCCTCCATGCCACCTCCTACTGCCAAACCCTACCACCATCAGTCACCACTCAATCCCGTTAGGGGATGAATTCACTGATTGGGTTAAGGCTCTAATAACCCATTCATTTCTCACACATAAGTTTTTGGGGGATATCTCACATCCAAACTCCAGTAGCAGCTTAGCAAGACCCTGTCTCAAAATAAAAAATAAAAATAGTTGGGAATATGGCTCTACTTTTTAAATGCCCCTGTTACCAAAAAAAAAAAAAAGGAATCTTATGGTTAAGGCACTGTTTGTCATGAATATAAAACTGAAAAGAAATGAGATAATTGGGCATTTCTACTGTTTTTTTCCTACAATACTGAGGACTGAACCCAGGGTCACCTTACCATTGAGGTACATCCCAGCCCTTTTTATTTTTTTATTTAGAATGACGGTCTCAATAAGTTTGTGAGCCAGGCCTCAAACTTGCAATCTTCCTGCCTCTGCCTCTGCCTCTGCCTCTGCCTCTGGAGTTGCACTGGCATTACAGGTGTGCCTGCTGCTCCCAGCTTTAACTGGGCATTTCTTTACATGACAAAAACATAACTGGTAGAATTCCCTAAGGTTCAATACCTGGATTTGATCTCATTTGATGTTTTTTAAATGGTATGGTACTTTCCAACACTCACGTACCTGAGACTGACTCCTACGTGTGACGCAGTGCAGCCCACAGGGTCGTTCTTATTGAAATAGCCCAGCACTGAGGTAATGTGATTCAAGCAGTTGCACCCCTGCCGTGCACTGAGCACTCGTTTGGGTGGGCTGGTAAAGGGTGTGAGGATCCAGAGGGTGTTGGAGAAGCCTGGACCATGGGGGCTGCTCACCTCATGTGGGATCCAGGATACAGCCGCTACCTTCCTGGGCTTGGGCTCGTCTGAGTGCTGGGAACTGTACCAGGGCCTCATGCCTGCTAGGCAAGCACTGTGCCTCTGAGCTACATCCTCAGCCCTGAGAGCTGTTCTTAAAGGAAGTCTGTCCAGCCTCCAGTTAGACAGACAGTACTGTCTGTCTTTGCAAGAAGACCACACAGCTGGACATTGCAGAGTGACACCAGGGTGTCAGCAGGACTTCAGCTCAAGGACCTTATCCAACTGGCACTATGTGAGTCACAGCTGGTACTCCACCAGCTTTGCCTGGCCTGGCATTTTAGCATGCAGGCTGAGGTCCTCCTTTCTTATTCTCTCTCAGCCTGGGCATCACCAGATCCTGAGTCCCTGTCTGGCTTCAGTTCCCTGACCTGCAGATGTTCCCCGTCCCTGGCTGAGGAGCTCAGTGCAGAAGACTGTGTCCTTTCCTGTGCCTTCCTGAGCATGGAAGGCTAATATGGGCACGCGCGTGTGGCATACTGGTTTAAAAAGAAGCATAGACATCCATGGCTTATCCTCCACCGTGTGGGAGCCTGGGGCAGGGGTCACCACTAGGAGCAAGGACAGGCTAGTGGGGATGGTGCCCCGAGGAAAGAATACCTAATGACATCATAGGGTCAGGGATGGTTCCCTGGAAAGTGAGAGTGGTGGAGGTGGGATGTGGAGACAGCTTCTGACCTGATGGTGACAAGTGCCAAGAGACAACTCTGCAAGGGCCTAAGAGAGCAGGGCTGTGGCTGGAGCAGAGGGAGCCCTGGGGGTCTGGGACTGTGGTGTAGTGGGTGAGGAGTGGCTGGCCCACCACAGGGAGCCCCACAGACAGCGACTGGAGATGAGTCAGAGAGGAGAGCCCTGGGCCTGGGTGGTGGCAGGGCTCAGGTCTCACAGGTGTTTCCTCTCGGCACTGATGGGATTTGGTGAGTCTGCAAGAGGCTGGAGGTCAGGGCCTCTTGTTTCTCTACTAATGACAGTGGGAGGAATGGGCAGAGTGCTGCAACTTCTTGTGAAGCCAGTGGACAGCGAGAAGCCGAGCATAGAGTCAGGAGAGACTCAGGACAGGCTTGGGGAGCCAACATCCAGATGAGGACACATTGGCAGCCCATTGAGCACCCACTAGTCCCAGACCCTCTCCCAGAAGGTCAGCACACAGGCCTCACTGACCCTCACCAGGATGCGAGTTGCCCAAAGCCCAGGGCAACCTGGCCAAGAGGCAGGTTCAGACCCTGACTTCACTTCCAGAAAGCCCACGCTTACCCGCTCCACCTGGAGGTGGGCAGGTGGCACATCCACAGGAGTTGAGAGAAACAGGCCTGGAATGTAGTCCCTGCCTCATCAGGTCCAAGTCAAGCTCTGGCACAAAGCTCCATGGGTGTCACCAGCCCGTGCAGACTCCAGGGAAGGCAGGCCAGTGTGTTCTCTGCACGGGGTCCTGAGCTTCTTAAGGGCAGAGTCCTCCTCTGGAAGGGGTATGTAAAGGACGGCTTTCTCAGAACCCTGCAGAGGCGTGAAGCGGCCCGAGCTCTCAAGCACACCAGCATCCCACCAGGTGGATCCAGTGTCAACCCAGCTGGGGCCTCCAGGCAGCCTTGAGCCTCTCCCTTCTCTGACTCATTCCTGAAGCAAACCTTGCATAGGCCCTGTGCCTCCCGCATGCGGGA